CCAAATGCCTTAACCACTGCACCACCAGAGATCCTTTTTATCCCTGGGTAAATGCTGCCCTTTGATCTCATATAGTTAATTATTCTAATTAGTACATACTCCCCTGGCATTATTGTTCACCTTGTAGTCCTGTCTATTGTTTGGCTGAAAGTTGAGCCATAGGGTTGTGTTCAGTTCCTGGCTTGAAGGGTGTCTAAGAGCCATAGTCTGGGAGGTTCCATCATTCTTTATCATACCAGTGAGCTTGATTTTTTTTTTTTTTTTTTTTTTACACTTTTGAGTTTTTTCCATATTTTTCAAGCACTCTGTGCTGGATCTCTTAATGTGATCCCTTTCACAGTGGTCAGCAGTGATAGCACCATCTAGTTCTTCTGGTCTCTGTGCCGTAGAGTCTGGAGTTCATGTGTTTTTTTAGTCCTTTGGTCTTTTAGTCTTTGCAGTTTTGATTTTCTCTACTCTTCTTTTCTTTGAATGGGGAGGGGGCGGGGATCAATAGTTGCACTTTAGCTGGCTAGTCACAAGCTTTTAAAACCCCCATTGTTACTCACCAAAGTAGGATGTAGAACATTGTCTTCATGACAACTGACCTTATTGTCCCCCAAAATTATGGTCTTGAGCCCCCTGCCCAGTGACTCATTTCCCTTAAAGTGTTTGGTTGTGACTAAGAAATTTTCATAACGTTACTTTCTGTATGCTCTACTACATTCATGGATATATTTCCAGTAGTACACAGACACACATAGACACACACAGACACACACACACACACACACACACACATATATATATATACACACATATGTATATAAACACATAAGGAGCTCTGGTGGCATAGTGCCAAAGGCATTTGACAGCTAACCAGAAGGTTGATGGTTCAAACCCACCAGCCACTCCATAGAAGGAAGACTGGGCAATCTACTTCCATAAAGATTTACTACCTCAAAAACCCAGAGGGGGTTGCTATGAGTCAGAATTGACTCAATGGCAGTGAGTTTTGATTTTATATATATACACACTTTGTCAAACCTATATATATTCATGGAGCTCTGGTGGTGCAGTGCCTAAGGCATCTGACTGCTACCCAGAAGACTGGCAGTCCAAACCACCAGCTTCTCTGCAGAAGGAAGATGAGGCAATCTACTTCCGTAAAGATTTACTGCCTGGAAAACCCAGTGGGGGTTGCTATGAGTCAGAATCAACCTAAGGGCAATGATTTTGAGGGTTTTATTTTTGAGTTTATGTAAATTCATGGGTGTAGTCCCATTTGCTTTCCCATCCCTGTTCACCTAATAGATGAGTATTTTGACTGTCATTCTTGCTGCATTCACAGTGAACAGACTAGATGAGTCCCAACTTGGCTGCATTGTGTGTGGGTTTAGGGTGGGCATTAAATGTCCCAATCTTTGTTTGTTTGATTTTCTTAGTAAACAACATGGCTCTGGGCTCCTAGCCACTACCCAGTGTTATCCACTGGGTTCCATCTGGTTCCATGGGACCAAGGCATGCTGTGAACTGTGCTTTTTTTTTTTTTTATTCCTTGCCTAGTAGCAATTAGGCCCTTAAATTACTGTGGTCAGCAGTAGCCTCAGACTGGGCACACATTCCCAGCTTGAGGTCACACATACACAGCTTCTCAAGTTACTTCTTAATATTTTGACTTTTATTTTTCTGCTTTGCATTTCTTTTTGTGGTGAGTCAGTAAGATACAGTTTTCAGAAAAATTAGACAGCAATGACAACGAAAATACTAATAGCAGTCATGACAGGGACAAGGCCGGATTCCCCTGAAAATGCCAGTTTGCTCTGAAGATATATTTTTTGGTGCCTCATTTGTACAATGTGTGACTATTACCTAATAATATTTTTTAAAATAAATGACTTATATTAAATGTAAATAATATAAATAAGTAATATTTATATTATTTAAAAATAAATAATATGTATATGTAAATATATATAGATATGTATTTATAAATAGGGCAGTGGTAGTTCAGTGGTAGAATTCTCATCTTCCATGTGGGAGACCCAGGTTTTCTTTTCTGAGAATGTACCTCACGTGTGTTTCTATAATATTGAACCAGTAGAGGTTCTTGACTGAGAGACTAGAGGAAAAGCCCTGGTGATATACTTTTGAAAATTAGCCAGTGAAAATCCTACTGATCATAATGATCCAATCTGCAACCAATCAGGAAGAGTTTTATTGTGTTATATATGGGGTTGCCATGAATTAGGGGCCAATCTGATGGCAGCTAACCACAACAACATCTCTCTCAGCAATATATAGGACTACTAGACAGAAGATCACAAGGATATGGAACGAAATGACACCTTCAACCAACAGGATCTATTAAACATTTCTAGGACACACTATTCAACAATAGCAGAATACACATTCTTTTCAAGTGCCTATAGAACATTCATCAAAATACACCATATCCTTGGTCATAAAACAAACCTCAATAAAATTAAAAGAATTGAAACAATACAGCATATGGTCTCTGGCCATAATGGAATCTGTTGTTGTTATGTACTGTCGAGTCGGACCCAACTCATAGCGACCCCTTCTTGGGTTTCTGAGGCAGTAACACTATGGAAGTAGATTGCCCAGTCTTCCTTCCAAGGAGTGGCTGTTGGGTTTGAACCACCAGCCTTCTGGTTAGCAGTCAAGTGCTTTAGGCACTATGCTACCAGAGCTCCCATAATAGAATCTAGAAATTGAAAATTAGAAATCCATAAAACAAATGTACTTATCCAAGTAAGGGTCTTCCCTCTTCAAATGGTCACTTTTATTCATTAAATAAAGGTTTTTTTTTTTTTTTTTTTTTTTTGAGTGCTTATTATAGGCCAAGCATTGAGCTAGGCACTGAGAATACCAGGGTGACTAATACACAGACTCTGCCAGACAGTTTGTGTCTAGTGGACCAACTGAGAAACACACCAAATGCAGGCCAGTGTGAGAAGTGTGCAAATGGTAGTGTATTCATACACAAAGCCATGGGGCCAAGATGCCAGTAATTCAAGGACTACCCAAAGGGAAGAAGCTATTGAGGAGGCAGGAGAGGCTTCGTGGGGAACACCAGAACCAAACCAAAAAGCCAAACCTCTTGCTGTTGAGTTGATTCCAACTCATGTTGACCCAAATGTGTTACAGAGTAGAACTATTCCTTAGGGTTTTCTTGGGTGTAATCTTTACAGAAATCAGACTTTTTTTCCTCTGGGTGAGTTCCAACTGTCAACATTTAAGTTAATAGACAAGTGCATACTGTTTACAATACCTAGGGATCCCTTGAAGATCATATTAGAGATCCCATGCTGACAGCTTGAACTGTTAATGTTGTTGTATTTGAAGACCAAGGTTTTCCCAAAGACTTTGACTCTGAATGCCTGTAGGTGGGCATCTCTTCCAGGACAATCAACTCCCTGTTGTCATTTATCTGGATTCACTGACAAATGTGCATGCCCTGGCTCCCCTAATAGACATTTCGGTTTGTGCCCCCAACTTCCTTTTGAATGGTGATTCTAATGATGCTGAATGTCTTTGGGAGTTTCTTCTGGAATCCATTTAGGGGGCCTGCAGAGAATTTAGTTTATCTCCCTTATACTTTGTTTTTGATCTTAGAGTTTAACTCAAGTTGATCAATCACTGAAATCTAATCCTTCCTCAAAGCATACAGATTGGCTGCCATCAGAAATACCCATAAGAATGAGCTTCATACTTTGAGGGCAATTCCCAGAGAGGAGGTTACATGCAATGGCAGTATTATGGGAGGAACGGCCCAGCTCCCCAGAAGGACTCTTCAAAAAGGACAATGCTCATTCAATGCCCAGGATATAATAGACTCAATAAATGTCTGTTATATTATCTAATGAATGGTTAGATGTACATGTTGTATGTTTGATTAAAAATAACAAAAACAACAGCAAAAATTTCCCCAAAATTATATAATATAAGGGGTTGCATTACTATTGTTTAGAATGATAGAATCAAAATCTTATACATCTAAGGACATTTACTACCCCTGACTTCACAGACTTCCTTAGCCACCTCATCAGGAAAAAGATATCATGATTGGTCAAGTAGAAGTTTAGCAAAAAATGAGGGAAACCCTTAATGAGATGGGTTGACACAATAGTCACAACAATGTATTCAAACATACCAATTGTTGTGAAGGTAGGCAGTACCAGGCAATGTTTTGTTCTATTATATAGGAGGTCACCAGGAGTCATGGCCAACTCCACGACAACTACCTACCTATATATTTAACTAAATAACTAACAATAACATCTCACAGATGTTGCCAGTGGAAGGGCTCTTCAAGGCCATCCAATTCAGGGGTTGCAAATACAACTGCCTTCAAAGCCAGGAGGTTATATGGTGGGTAAATGATTCGGTAATATGGAATCAGCCACATATGACACAATTGGGACTAGTAGGGTATGTGCCTCATTGGAGTGTGCATGTTCTGCCTAAAATCATTCATCAGTGTCAACATTACTAGCACTTGAATGGTGCCCATTACAATATCAGGCACTAAGTGCTTTTAATTAATTTGTCCTTGGTAAAACATTCTGAATTTGAAACTATTATTCTCCTCACTTTACAGATGAGAAAACCAAGGTATAGAAATTAGGTAACTTGCCCAAATCACTCAGTTAGTAAGTGCTGGATCCAAGAATTAAACCCAGCTCCTAAATCTAAGCCTGTAACTGTAATGTTACCCCAGTTAAGTGTCATACACTTCAGAATTTCTGCAAATCCCATGAAGGCAAAACAAATCACATCTGCAGATCAGTTTTGCCCCTTAGGTGGTGCATATGCAACCCTGGTTAGCCCAGTCCTTTCATGTATCAGGCCAGGCAGCTGCTAGTTCCTGGTTAATGACAGACACTAAAAGAAAGCACAGGATTGACCCCCATCCAACAGGCTTGCCTACATGCTACCAGGCCACCTCTGGTCCCTCAGGACAGATGTGGGCACACATGGAAGAGAAGTCAGCTTACCCTTGCCCAGTCCTGAGATGGCATCAGTGATGACGACCACTTTGTTTTGCACAGCCGACTTGGACCACAGCCGGGACACCTCTTGATAAATGAAGAGGAGGCCACTGATCCCCAGGAGTAGCAGGGGCAGCATAAGAACTGCCATGACTCCCATCTTGTTCTGGGGAAAATAGGGTAGAAAGAACTAGCTTTGCAAGAAGCCCCAAATCGTAACACTTGGGGCAGGGGAGGCCCAGGGCTGCTAGGGCACATTCACTTGTGCGCTGAGCCTGAGGATCTCCTCTCCAGAGCTCAGCTCTGTGGAAGCTTTCAGAGGGCAACTTCCTAACTGAACACCCAGCCAGCATGCTAATCCCCCAATGTTCAACAAATAGGATATTACTCACGGTGTCTCTGATAGAAAAGTTGAATCCAGGGGGCCTGCCCTCCCCAAAGATTAATTATGGATTTAATTAAAATTGGTGTGCATTTTTGGAAGGAAATCCATGTGGTAAGGCCACCTGCTTGGGCCCTAATGGCTATTTATAACCCTCTTTTGCTCTAAAGGGCTTTTCAGAGTAAATATAGTGTCTCTTCTGATACTCAGGGACACAGGCTGGCCGGCTCTGGTTTCAGTGTTCTTGCCAGGACTTTTAAAGCTCACCAGGCTTGTCTAGAGATTAGAGGTTTCCTTTACAGTTTGGGGCTGAGAATTAGGGATCAGGACTTGGGATTTTCAGAACAAATGTCTTTGCACTCACTTCCTGTTAATATTCAGACCAGGTAACTTCCAGGTAGCTCAGATGCCATCTAAGCTCTTCTTACTGGTTGGGGATGAAAGTATAGAAAAGCTGTTAAGTGGAATAGAGGGGCAGAATGAATTTGGGGGTTTGACATGGAAACTGGAAAAAGCTATTTTCTTTAGCCAAGCTTTTTCACCTCTCTGAGCCTTAGCTGGAGTCCCTAGGTGGCACAAGCAGTTAAGCACTTGACTACTAATCATAAAGGTTGGTGGTTCAAACCCGTGTAGAGATGCTTCAGAAGAAAGGCCTGGCAATCTGCTTCTGGAAGGTCAAGAAAATGCTGTGGAATGAAATTCTGCTTTGCAACATTTGGGGTCTCCACGAGTTAGAATCAACTCAATGGCAATTGGTTTGGTTTGTGGTGTGATCTTTATCTTTCTCCTCTATAAAATGTGCCTATCAGTCTTATCTTGCAGGGTTGTTAGAGGACAAAATAAGATACTGCATATTATAACCTGGCATAGACAAGAAGACAACTATAGCTTTTTTCATGATTTAAAAAAAAAATACAAAGAAGTAGTCAGTTTGCTTTCTCCTTTCTTCCATAGTCCCTGGTAACCATTACTCAACTTTCTGTCTGTATGGATTTGCTTATTCTGAATATTTAATAAGTAAAATCACATAATAGGTGGCTGTCCTGTCTGGCATATATTATTATAAAGAGTGGATTGTGGCACCTCCATGCATGTTCACTAGGCTGAAATACCTATCCTGCCAGCTTGGTCTTTCTTTCCAGCCAGGACCAGTTCTTGTTTTGATGCATGAATCCCTTTCCACTCCTGATCTGCCTTTGGAAGGATGAGTGCTCCTCTGCAGTGGGGTCATTCTTACATAGGTGGTAGGGCTGTGTTAGAGGGGGACACAAGGATAGGGTGAGAGGTTGGGTGCTGGAAGTGCTTCCAGGCACTGAGATTTATTCAATATTCATGTTAGTACTTCTTGCTGATGCTTCTCCTTTAGGACTGTAACTCAGAGATGCTAAATTATGTCTGCAAGATGTCCTTATTTTCTCAAGTCTAGCTAGGAGTTCTGGTGGCGTAGTGCCTAAGGCATTTGGCTGCTAACCAGAAAGCTGGCAGTTCAAACCCACCAGCCACTCCTCAGAAGGAAAATTGGGCAATCTACTTCTGTAGAGATACCACCTGGGAAACCCAAGGAGGGGTTGCTATGAGTCTAATCAACTCGATGTCAGTGAGTTTTTTTGTTTGTTTGTTTGTAGCATTTGCTACCACCACCACCTGGCTGCCAGTCTGTGATGACTTGCGTGTTGCTGTAAGCTATGCCACTGATTTAGAAGTTGGTCACCAGGCCTTTCTTCCCATTCTTTGTCTAGAAGCTCTGCTAAAACTTGTCCACCTTGGTTGACCCTGCTGGTATTTGAAGTACTGGTGGCATAACTTCCAGCACCGTGGCAACATGAAATCCACCATGGTATGACAAACTGGCATACAGGTGGTAGTTGTTCTTAGGTGTCATCAAGTCAGTTCAAACTCACAGCTGTCCTGTGTACAACAGAACTAACCACTGCTCGGTCCTGTGTCATCCTCACAATTGTTGCTATGCTGGAGCCAATTGTTGTAGACACTGTCTACTCATCTCACTGAGGGTCTTTATCTTTTTGCTGACTCTTTATCAAGCATAGTATCCTTCTCCAGGGAATGGTCCCTCCTGACAACATGACCAAAGTATGAGAGATGAAGTCTCCCCATATTTTCTTTTAATGACCATTTCTGGCTGTACTTCTTCCAAGGCAAATCTGTTCATTCTTCTAGCCATCCAGGGAATATTCAATATTCTTCACTCATGCCATAATTCAAATGCATCAATTCTTCTTCAGTCTTCCTTATTCATTATCCAGCTGTTACATGCACATGAGGCTACTGAAAATGCCAAGCCTTTGGTCAGGCACACTCTAGTCTTCAAAATGACAGGTTTGCTCTTTAACACTTTAAAGAGGTCTTTTGCAGAAGATGTGTCTAATGCAATATGATGCCTGATTTCTTGACTGCTGCTTCTGTGAGTGTTCATTGTGGATCCAAGTAGAAAGAAACCCTTGACAATTATCATCTTTTCTCCATTTATCATGATATTGCTTATTGGTCCATTTGTGAGGATCTTTGTCTTCTTTAAGTTGAGGTACAATCCGTACTGAAGGTTGTGGTCTTTGGTCTTCATCCATAATTTCTTCAAGTCTTTTTCACCTTCAGCAAGCAAAGTTATGCCATCTGCATATTTCAGGTTGTTAATGGGCTTTCCTCCAATCCTGATGCCACATTCTTCTTCATATAGTCCAGCTTCTCGGATTATTTGCGCAGCATACAGATTGAACAAATACGGTGAAAGAATATAACGCTGATGCACACCCTTCCTGAATTTAAACCATTTAATATCCCTTATTCTGACTGAACAGCTGCCCCTTTTTCTATGCACAGGTTCCACATGAACACAGTTACATATTCTGAAATTCCTACTCTTCACAATGTTAACCAGGTGGTGGATAGTATTTATTACATTGCATATATTTCTTATTCATCTCCTTAGTGATTTGTGAATTCCTTGAGAACAGGAGCTCTGCCTAATTCCCCTTGTCATTTCTTGTGCCTGTCACAGTGTGACACAGGAAAATGTCACTAACTACAGACTGAATGAATGAATGGCCTTTCTAATGAGTTGGCTCAGGGCATGTGATTTTGTTCTGTGTGCTGCTCTAACAAACATAACTGAAATATGGAAACAGGGGTGGAGTGCACCCTTGAACCCGAGATCTCTCCACCAAGAAGACAGCAGAGAGACTGGCAGAGCTGAGAGACTGGCATGGGACAGAGAAACAAGCTTACTAACCCATGGAGGAGAAGGCTTCATGCATTTGAGCATGCTGCTTCCTAGCAGAGTGAGTTGCCTTAGGGCATTAATTGGCAGAAGCTGAGAGACCAAGAAAATGGGAAGCAGAGAAGCCTCAGCCTAAAAAAGTAGGACCATGGCCTCAGGGGGTGGAACCACCACAGCCTCCTAGGTTTCAAAGAGTCAGATCTTCACCAGCTTGGTTCTGGAGTGTGGGGCTGCCATTCATGACGTCCAGTGAGCTGCCATAGCTGCTGCCCAAAAGTGAGGGGGCAAGGCTGTCATGACTAAGAGTCAGAGGAACAGGACCTGCCAGGCCTAATGGACGAAGTTGTCACTCAGATGGTCTAGGAGACTAGGGCCACCCAATGAAGGAGATCTGGATAAGTGTCAAGTTTACAAGTGGCATAATTGTGGTAGTTAATGTAATGTGTCAGCTTGGCTGGGCCTGGTTTTGAGTGGCTGGGTAGCTGGATGTAGTGATTCCCCTTGATGAGACTGGTAATCAACTCCAGTGGAATCTACTGTGAGCAGTTGAGTAGTTGCCTTAGGGATGTGGTCTGCTTCCATATATAAGAAGACACTTTGAGAAGGTCTCAAGCTTTTAAGCACATCTGGATCCTGCATTTGGCTAAGTCTTCATCTCAGTGGCCTGAGCTTTGTGAGCCATAAGCTATCTTATAAGAGTGAGGGATGATTAAGATTTCACTGGGAGCCCAATTTTGTCAAATAAAAAAGACAAATTCAGATTTAATAAGGAGAAATTTCATTCAACAAGAATGGATAATCCTGTTGGCTAGCCATTTATGTGAGTGAAATGTCCTGTAGTCTTCAGATCAATGAGCTGTTTTCCAAAATCTTTCCCCAAATTTCAGATCTATATGTGCATGTACACATGCACATGCCCCTTCCACACACAGAGATACACACAGACACACAGACAGGCAGACATATACATGCACACACAGAGACAAAGACACATATGCACACACAGAGACACAGACAGATACACACATGGACACACATAATTAAACAAACAGACAAACTTAGACATATGCACATATGTGCACACATACAGACACATAAAGACACACAGACACACATATACAATTATTTCTAGAGTCGGCCCCTTAAGGATAGGATAAATTCTCTGTCAACCTTGTATCTACAAACATGGTACTTATGCATGCATAGACCTCACAGGTTTTTAGTGAATGAGAAATGTTTACATGAGCAAACCTAACTCTAGCCTTGCTAAGGAGGCCTATTAACCTAATTTCTGTCTTCAACATAGTCCCTCTCAGCCTCATAATGCACAGGTGTGGTTCCCGGTTGGGGGTGGGGCGTTGACCTTAAGATACAAAAGTAGCTAAGCTAACAATTGCTTCAAAAGAATTATTTGCTGATTCTGAGTCAACTGAGTGATTTAGGGGTGAATTGAACAATTCTGGAAAAATAGATAGAGTACTGGGGTATTATTGCCACTTTCTCATTGTTTCATTTCTGAACACATTGTTCATTCTTGGCTCCAGAGTCT